TTCTTGTGAGTTCTTGAGTCTAAGTTTAGAGAAGTTCAGGTATGATCGGAGAGTTTTGGTTTCTCAGTATATTTCAGGTGGATTGTGAGACTGGAAGTCTCCTTCAGTCTCTAGGCTAAATACATGTTGACACCCGTGTGTGTTGTTCATTTTTAGGTAGTATCTCACTTCAACATATGCTTTTAACTGTAAATGTTCTTAAGCAGTGCTCTCTAATCGTGACAGTGAGAGGAAAATGAAGACAAGAGTTTGTGTTAGAATGAAATTATGCAAAAATTCTAAGTTAAAAGAAACTTGTGAATTCCAGCTCACTTGGCTGCTGGGGAATAATAGTTCTTAAACATAGATAGCCTACTTTCCTAATGCTTTAATGTATTGTATTTGTGAAATTTAGTTTCTTAAAAGTGGGAAGAGAACAATTATCTCCATATTTCAGTATTTACTGAAAGTTCATCAGCAAAAGTAAAGAATGATATGTGCCTTGGAAACTGGCATTCAGACATAAAAGAAGAATACATTTCCTTATAGCATGTATAAGATGCAAGCTACTGGATGATCATAAAGAGTGTTGTATTGTTTCACGACAGAATAGTACCATTAAAATGATAATAAGCAAATGATGAGCAACTCTCACTGATAGATTAAAATGACATATCAAATTAGACAGTGACAAATTCAGTTAAAAAATGTATTAGCTTTGCTACTTTGAGTTCTGCCAGGAAGCTCATATTGCTGCTCAGATGTTCAGATTATTGTGTCAGCAAGTAAGTAAAATCAGGTGATTGGCAGTGTGCTGTGAAATTGAATTCAAGCTTTAGAAGAGTATTAAAATTGCTGAGAAAGAATTGAAATGAAACATGAGCATATTATAGTCAGCAGACCACTTTAGACTATTAGATACTAAATTTTTGGAAAATTTGATAAATACATTATACTCAACTATTATCAATATTTGGTCATATTTATATAGTCAATAAAACCCTGCAGATAACCACTGCCATATCATGCTGTATGTTAGATACAACTTCATTTTTTTGACCCCTTATCATGTTCTCAGATGCATTTGTTGAAAAATATTAATAGTCCATTTCTTTTAAATACTAAATAGCATTTCTTATAAATGTATATTTTTTTTGCTTGTTGGACTACAAATAGGTTATTTATTGATACTGATTTTCTAGGCTTACCTTGAGAAAATAAAGATGTTTTTAAGGACTAAAAACAAATTCCAAGGTTTTCTAACATGGAAATTTTATTTTGTAGTTATAGAATATGTAGAGATGTACCTTCTGTAATTTGTATCTGAATATTAGTATTTCTTAGTGTCAGAATGATCTAAAAATATAAATGTATTAGTAATCATTTAAAACATTTTTCATTTTCAGATACTTCAAATTGAAACATATTTTTTTGTGGAACTGTATGAAGTAACTGCTGGAGCAGCAATAAATAATAGTGCCCGGTTTGCACAGATTAAATTCTTACGGAGTGATGAACCTCAAAGCCTGATGTACTTTTCAGTGGGTTCTCGGCTGCCAGTGACTCACAAGAAGGCTACTTTAATCAGTTTGCAGGTAGCCAGGGATTCTGGGACAGGACTAATGATATCTGTTAACTTCAGTACCCAGGTAAGTATGGAATGGAAATGAGCACACACTATGGTTTTCTTCTTTGCCTGTAGCCCTTGTGATGAAACAGAATATTTAACACATTTTCTGATACCATCATAATTCACATGTTTATTATATTAACCTTTACCTTTGAAACAGCTTAAAATTTTTCACTTAGCACATGCTTTAAAATGAATTGATAATACAACAGTAGATTTTAGCTCCTAAAATCTTTAGCGATAACATTTCCTCAGAAAGTACTTTGGAACACTTCTTTCTATATAAAACCAGAAGTAGTAAGTAATTTTCTTTGTCATGGTTAGAATCTGAACTGTTTGCTCATTTTCTTCACCAAAACTAACTGACCTGGTGTTTGTTTTTATTTTTCTTAGTAATTCCTTTCATTGAAGTATCATTGGTTTACATCCTTGCAAGTGTTTTGGAGACATGTGAATTCTCTCAGCTGTAGTCCCATACTGTACCTGCCCCTGAAGCACCTCTAAAGTCCATTGTACACTCTCCTATCTTCTCACCCCGTCCCTTCTTTTTTCCGTCCACCTCCGGATACCTCATCTCTATGGTCTGCTTCCAGGGCTTGATTTTAAAGTTTGGCTTTGACCCTTTGTTTGGTTTCTCTATATTCCACATAGAAGTAACACCTTCCGGTATCTTTCTCCTTTTGGTTTATTTTGCAATGTTTCTTTAAATACATGAGTTAATGAGTTCCCACTGGTACTTTTTTATAGCCATCTTATCAGGATGGCATCAGGTGAACCTGAGGGGGCAGGTGGATAGTCAGGGACTCAAAAGAACAATGCTATGCAACAGTAAGTGACCAGATCATTCAGTTGGCCCAAACCCTATCCTACACCTTTCCAACATGAACTTTTATACTCTGGGCAGCTAAACTCTACTACATTAAAATAAAAGTATATCTTCTCTGCATGAAGCACACAGTTGTGTGATTGGCACTTACCTTCCTTAGCACTTTCTTTGACTTGTATAACTTCAGAGAACATAAAGCTTGAGGTACCGATCTGGACAGTGCTCCTATTTCCGATTTCAATGTTCCAAAGTTTTAGGCCTACTTAGACCTCAAGGTTTCAAAGTGTTTTTTGTTTTATTCTAGAGTCCTGTTTAGTATGCATGTAGTTTTATCACTGCATTGGGGGGCCCAGACAGGTAGCACATTCTGTGACTGGAAGGCAGCATCTGTGCAGCCAGTTAGTAGTAGCAATCATATCATTCGGGGATGGGAAATCAGAACTAAAGCTGTGATAGAATATGTAGCTCAACTAACAAGAAGACAAAATTCTCTGTCATATGAGACTCTAGAAATAAACATCATCCTAAATAGCCTTGCAGTGATATGAACTCAAAAAAGAAGAATTTGGAGTCATAGCAGGGAAATTTAGCAATTTTAGTTCCTAGCATTTAAAATAGAGAAACGAGAAAAAATTAAGTGCCTCATTATTGCTCTTGTCCTATGGCATTGAATATCATTATACACTTACTACTTTGTAGAATAGAAGAGGCAGGAATGGAAGTTTAGAATAGATGATGGAGATTTGAAGCACACTTTATTTTTTTAAAGATTTATTTGGTTATGCATACAAGAACTGGGGTGCAGGATAGAAGTATAGCGGGTCAGATGAATCACCAGAGACAGAATGTGCAACAGGACAGACTGAAATACACTGCTGAGGGGAGCAGTGGATGGGAGAGCAGAGGTCTGCTGCGCCATGTGGGTCAGCTCCCTGGCTGGGGATCAAACTCACGTTGCAGTGACTGTGGACACCTTCATATTGCTGTGCTTTAATCTGTTGTGCTACCAGGGAGGGCCTTCAGGCACCGTAAGATTAGAGTGAAATTGCAATTGCTAAAATAAGAATTTTAATGTCAGAATCTCTATCATAGTCAATTTACTTTGTTTAGATTTTTCATAAATAATTCATTACAAAACACATACAATGATTACCAATATGAAGGATTCTATGGTGATGAAAACTTTTTATTTGGGCTGGCTCAGTGTCAAATACTGCCTGCAATTTATTAAGAGTTTTGCAAGATATTACTGTTAAGGGATATTGAGTAAAAGGTGCTGGAAAACTATTACTTCTTGTAATTGCAGGTGAATCTGCCATTATCTCAAAATTGAAAAGTTAATATAGAAACAATATAGAAAGAAATAGTTTACCTCTTTTAGTATATTTTGCTGTCACATCATTTTCCCTGTACTTCATCAGTTTTTTGTTTTAAGGGTCACACCATTTTGAAGGGCTTTGAGGGAGGAAAGAAAGGATTGGGGTTTTTGTTCTACCAATGCACTGCAGATGCTCGTGAAAAGCCTTTGCCTTCATTCACTTTTCATTTTTGTATGCCATTGATCACTTTTTAAAGTATGCCCTTTTCCTTTGAACATCTAGAACATAAGTTTTTCCAATTCTTATGCTGGCAACTCCTCCCTTTTGCTTCTTCTGTCATTCTGACCACTAGGCTTGACTACTGTGACCTGTTTCTTTAGACATCATCTGTAAAAGGAGATTCTATGTTCTCAGAGCAGTCCAGCTTCCCAGGAACAGAAAACCATTTCCTTTCTAACTGCTAGAGATACTACTAGAAAACACATATAATTCTCTTTCCAGTAGCTGGAAGCATGGTTAAATAATGAGGGGTCCTCCCTGGTGGCGCAGCGGGTTAAAGCACAGCACTAAGAAGCAAAAGCCACTTGCGCATGAGTTCGATCCCCGCCTGCCCTGGAGGTGACCACATGGCGTGTTTGTTCTCTCCTTATCTTCCCGCTGCTCCCCTCAGCAGTGTACTTCATAGATCTGCCTGTTCTGCTCCCCGCTCTGTCGCTAGTGAAGCCTCTCACCGCCCCTGAACCTCTGACCTGTACCCCACTTCTGTATGTGCAAATAAGTAAATCTTTAAAAAAAAAATAATGAGGGGTCAAGTTGCTACACTGTTGTGCGATAGCTATTTTCATTTTACTTTAAATAGATGTTAATGTAGTTGAAACTGTAGCTACGGCATCCATACCCTGGTAGGCCAGCATGCCCATGTGTGTAAACATTATAGTCTTACCATAATTTCCCTTATAGCTAAGTATTTGCAGTTAAAAGCTCAGGGAACATGAAGATTTGTATTAAGGAAAATATTACTGTTGCTCCATTTTAGGTCTCAAAGTAAACCAAACTTGTAAACTGGCACATACTTTGAGTTAATATGTTTTTGCCCAAAGCACACAAATACAAGGAAGAACATGCTTTTACTTCTTACTCTCACCTTCCCTGTTCTACTCAAAGGTCGTTTCTATATTGACTTCCATTCTATTTTAAATTGTGTAGTATTTCTTGTATATTTGTTATTCATATTTTATAAACATAAGAATATATTTATCTGTTTCCTTTCAACCTTTGAATTAAAAAGTAAATCCTATCAGGAAGTAGTGGGCAGAATTGATGTAGCTTACTGTAATAAAAATCACCAGCACTTGGTTTAAGCCAGCACTTGCGAGGTTCTTAGAACTACTCACCATGAACCGTTTCCTAATGACATCCTAGTCTTTCCTTGACTTTCTCTATGCTGAATTTCATGTTAAATTTCCACTTCATTTATATTTTACTACCCCACGTGCTTTTTAGCTTTACCTGTTTTGGAAATTAATATAAATGAGATTCTTCCAATTGTTGTGTTTTAGGTTCAGCGTTATTAGTTGTTTTTTTTTTTTTGAGAAATAGCCATTTTTATGTGAATAGTTATAATTCATTCACTTCCACTATACATAGTGTTCTAACGAATAATTTATCCATTCTTAAACCAAATCAATCTGTGTGGTTTCTTTTGGTGGGGTTTTTGTTTTACCAATGCACTGCAGATGCTCGTGAAAAGCCTTTGTCTTCATTCACTTTTCATTTTTGTATGCCATTGATCACTTTTTGAAGTATGCCCTTTTCCTTTGAACATCTAGAACATAAGTTTTTCCAATTCTTATGCTGGCAACTCCTCCCTTTTGCCTCTTCTGTCATTCTGACCACTAGGCTTGACTACTGTGACCTGTTTCTTTAGACATCATCTATAAAATGAGAACTTCTAAATTTTTATCACTATCTTCTTTACCACCTGTGACCTAGACTTACATATTTGATTGCTTCTACTTGACCTCTTCATTTGAATGTCTAAAAGATAGCTCAGGTTCAATGTGTGTGATAAAGAATTCTTGATTTTTCCCTTAAGAGTATTTTCCTCAGTTTTCTACTAATCAAACAGTCAGAGCGAGAAGTTATCTTTCTCTTCTTCTTTTCCACCTAACAATGACTTTACTAGAAGGTACTACTGGCTTAGCCCGCTATAGTTTATAAATATGCAAGAGCCAGAATACTCAGGAAAATACTCACTAGAGTATGTCACTGGCTTCTTTGACCCCGCCAAAGTCTTCCTGCTCTGCTCTGTATAATGGGCCTGCATGATTAACTCCTGGCCAGTCAATTCCTTTCAGTCACACAGGCTTTCTGGTTCTTTCTCTAACATTAAAAGTGGCTCCCGTCTCAACACTTTTGTATTGAATATTTTTGCCTAGAATATTTTGCCTAGAATATTTCCCTGCAGATCCTTTCATGGTCTGTTCCTTTATGTTGCTGAGGGCACTGCTGAAATAACCTATTAAGAGTTTCCATAACCAATTTTATCTAAAATAGTACCCTGACTATCATCTTATATCCCCCATCCCTAGTCTTATTCTTCATAGAATTCATCTTCACGTAAAGTAAGTTGTTATTTTGATGACTTTGTGTGTCTCCATTCTTTACTAGACTAGATTTGACTAGGACAGGTGTTCTGTTGTTCACAGCTACATTCGCACCATGCCACATGGCCACTTACCAGGTGTTTAATATTAGTTTGCTGGCTCAGTTGTAAATAAACTAAAATTTTGGTTCTTCCTTGACTGAGTTCTCATGCTTCATTTTGACATGTAATAAGCATAACTTGCAGAAATTCAGGGATACGTATGACCAGAATCTTTCTCCTCAGGATATTTTCACTGCTAATTATAAACAAGAAATCAATTTTTCTGCTTCCCCTACCACACTCTGCCTTCTCTTGATTCCCCAAAATTCCATAACTTCAAAATTTCTAAGTGAGAATAAAAATGTAAATATTCTTTTTTTCCAGAAATTCCATACTTGTTTTTGTGAGCATAAATCAGAGTACAATTTCTATTGTGTTCCCAGTTGAAGAAATAAAAATCTAAGTGAGAATAAAAATATAAATATTATTTTCCGGTAACTCTATACTTTTTTTTTGTGAGCGTAAATTCGAGAGCATAATTTCTATTGTGTTCACAGTTGAAGAAACCTCTGAGGTAACACTGGTAGCTCTTTCCTGATTCTTTTTTGATTCATTCTAAGACATCTGCTGTCCATAACAGCAGCACTTTATGTTGCATATTTATCTCTTGTTGGTCTTTGGAGATTAGAAAAAGAGAAAAAACACAAAAACAAAAACCAGAACATATTTCAGTGACAATGTTTTATGGCCCACTGAGTAACTTAAGAGAAATAAATTTTGCTTAAGGAGAAAGAATTTGTTTCAGATGAGATAATAAAAAATTCTCTAAAGTGACTTTATACATTCACTTACGTGCTGCTTAATTTCTAGGAGTTGAGGAGTGCTGAGACAATTGGTCGTACTCTCATATCTCCAGCAATTTCTGGAAAGGATTTTGTGAGAACTGAAGGAACATTGGTCTTTGAGCCTGGTCAGAGAAATACCATGTTGGATATCATCCTAACGCCAGAAAAGGGGTCTTTGAATCCATTTCCGAAACGCTTCCAGATTGTGCTTTTTGACCCGAGAGGTGGTGCCAAAATTGACAAAATGTATGGGACTGCTAATGTCACGCTAGTCTCTGATGTGGATTCGCAGGCCATTTGGGGGCTCGCAGATCAGCTGCAACAGCCCCTGATTGGTGATGTTCTCAGCAGAGTGCTCCACAGCATCAGCGTGAAAGTGGCAACGGAAAACACAGATGAACAGCTCAGTGTCGTGATGCATTTAATAGACCAGGTAAGAAACCTTTGCAAGTATCAACAGCTGTCTACGTAAAATTCCGTCACTTAGAAAAATGAGAAAACATAAAATGTTATGTCAGTTATTATAAAATGTTCTTAGAGTTAACTTTGTAAGTCTAAGAATGGAATTCATCATTCCTGACACTGTGCTTTGACCTGGATGTGACATTTTGGCATGAAAATGTTGGAAAATTTCAGTCTTAAAATACAAGAATGATGAGTAATCTTCTGCAGCAGGGATGAAAGTCCAATATCTGGACTCCAGGGGTCAGAAACTCAGGCTCATTCTGATTCTCCAGAAACTGGAAAAATACCTTTGGAGATTGTGTCTTTGTTTCTTGATTCTGTAAGAGGGCTTAACCTAGATTATCTACATCGTTCTTCCAGTTTCTATCTTTGGAGAAGAAGCTATTGTCTTCTTCTGTTCCCTGTTCTTCTCAGACACTAAAAGCTTTGTCAAAAAGAGAGAACTAAAAATGACTGGGAGATTTCAGATATTCAAATTGGTGTGGGATTAGACCAGTCAGGTTTTATTTTAAAACTACTTACATTTCTGCACATGATGGCATGAAGTGGAGACAAGAGCTTAAGAACATCCAAAAGTATAACTAAAAAGAATTTTACCATGGAAATGACTCCTGTGGGCATATATTTTTTGGCTTTCTTACCAACATACTTATATACAAGTGTGAACAATTTCAAGTATATACACATGGATTTGTAAATATTAGATTTTTAAACAATTGGGTTATTGAAAAATTCATGATGCATTTTTGCTTGAAAAACAGAAAAAAAATGTCATGACTTTAACGAAAATCCAGTAGTATAAATATTGTATTTATACTGTATTAAATTGATCTTTATACACTGAAGATATTCAGAGAGGGATTTTAGATTATCACGTCTATTTACTATTTTTGTCTCACTTAAAGTACAATGCCTGAAGGGTCACAAGGAACATTATATAGTACAACAAAGTCAGAAGAGGAGGCCGTGCCAAACAGCTTATAAAGCAAAGAGAAGTGATTGCTATTTCATGCAAAGAAAATTTTCAGAAACAAAAATTCATGCTGGAAATATTAAATTTTCTAATGATGAGATGACAGGAAACAATGACAAGTTGATTTTGGCCAAAAAAGGGGATACAATGTATAGTACCACATTTTAGAAGAGAAACTCATTTTAAATGAATTATGGAAGATATAAAGAAATTCTGCCTTCGCTCAGTAGTTACACAAGAGTCCTCTATTTTGTTGGACAGGAGTCAACACTTACTTAACTAAAGTTGCCAAGTAGCACATTTTGATGGCTATATCATGAATAATGAAACTGAATTGTGAAAGAATTTCCTATGAGAAATATAAGAAACATTACTAAATTAAGGTAATTTATATGAAACAGGCAACCTAAGAATTTTTGAATGAATAAAATACTTTAAATGCTGTAAAAATTAAGTAGAAGCCATCATTTGAATTCTTAAAAAAGAAAACAATTATATCCCAACTTCAGCCTTCTTGGAGCTGATTATTTTCAAATTCTGTTATTTTTAAAAAATTGTTTAATATGATATGTTGTCATTTCAAATACTCTATATGTTAATGTCAAAATACAAACTGGTGATTTGAATGAATTACTCAGTGGTTCAGTATAATATATAATGTATGCTCTAAAATTATGGTTAGCACTAGATAGTATTACAATATTATATGAAAATTGAAAAATTCTATTGAGTTACATAAACTTGAATAGAGATACATTTTTTGCTCAGAGATGGGAAAGTTCAGGATCATAGAACTTTCTATAAACTAACTTGTAAGTGTAATATCTTCCCTACCAAAATGTCCATAAGATATTTTGGATTTTATTTTTCCTTTCTGGATGCTGTAGCTTACCTATCAGAATATATATGTGCAAATAGGCAGAAATGTTCTGAAAAAGAAAGTGAATTAGAAGAACTTTGTCCTACCAGATATGAAAAGATATTTGAAGATACAGTAATTCAAACTGGTGGTTCAGTCATAGAAATTCAGATTTGTGGAACAGAAAAAAAGGTGCAGAAATAAATGAAGGGACATATTAAAATTTCATCTGTGATAAATTTATAGGTAAATCATATCTTAATAAAACTGGGAAAAAGTAGGCATAAAAGATCACTAATGGTAATTTCCAAATACATGTATAAAAATGTTTGGTTTAGCATAGCTTTAATAACAAAAGTTGGAAAGTAGCCTTAAGTAAGGTTTTGGTACATCCATAAAATGCAAAAAAATCATGTTTTTAGGCATTTATTAATAAAATAAGACAATGATGAAACAGACACTGGAAAATTGATAATCACATGCAACAATGTTGAAATTTTAACAGAATATGGGATGCCTAGTTAATGTTGGATTTCTGATAAATGAATACCTTTTTAATATAAGTATTCACACACTAAAAAATGTATTTGCATGCAACGCTTGGTACAGTTATATAAAAAAGTGCTGCTGACTTATCTGAAATTTCAACAGGATTTCCTATACTTTGGCACCCATTCATTTATCAAATTCCTGACTAGAATTTTCAGCTATGGGCTTGAATTTACTTTGATAAATCTTGTGTTTTAAATGAACTTGCTTTATATTTGTAAGTTTTTTGCTCCAACTTTCTAACTTTGTTGAATCAGAATCTGCTCTGTACTGTATATTTCTTTATAGTAAAAGCTCAATAAATCTTAGACACTGTTATTACACTTGCTAGAAGTGATTACTTATTTATGTTCAAAAGAAACAAATGTGCTGAAAAAGCAACAACCTTAAATAACTCACTGCAAAGATTTTCCAAATGAAATTCAGCTCTGGGTTTTGGGCAAATGTCTGTCTGCTATGACATAAAATTTCTTCCCAGGCATGGTACAATAGAAATTGTTGAAACTGTCAATTGCCTTAACAATACTGTCAGTTTTACAAGACGGCCATATGTGATACCCAGATTTTGTATATCTTTGGGTTTTAGTTTACAGGTGATTGAAGCTTGATAAAAGTTGAATCAGGAGATGGTGCCTTTAATTTTGTGATATGATACACTTGAATGAACACAGGAATAATTTGTTCTGTGAAAGTTTCATATATTCTCTCCTCCACCAAAGGTTTATTTTCTCTCCCAACAGATTTTAAATTTTTCCTCATGGTTGATTCTGGCTTTTTATGTTTTTGTAAGTTCATTTTGATAATTCGGAAGATGGGGGATGCCTATTATTTTTGTTTGTGTGAAATGACTTTTTGAGCAAGATGTTTTTTAATTGGGTATTTAAAAATCTTATATATTCCAACAGTTTTACATTCGATTTATTTTATAATCCTGTTAGCAGTTATTTAGACTTGGTTATATATTTTACCTGCTTGTTGGATGTTCCATGTTTGCAATAATTTTGAGTGACCTGTCTGTAAATGTGCCAATCTGTGCTGTTATTTTAGGACAAGCGAGTGAGGATGTTGTGAGTCAGGGCAGCGTGGCCGTCAGGAGAGCCTAGGCTTGTCCATTCACTGTCTCTGTGCCCCAGGACAAGCTGGGAGTCCTTTTATTGTTTCAGTTTCTTTATCTGGAAAGAAAATAACACCAGCACCTCCCTGGCAGGAGTGTTGTGAGATTAGAGGAGATGATATAACTTCGCTGAAAACAGTGCCCAAAGAAAACAAGTTGTTTAAATATACTTTTCATTTTATTTTTTGAAGATTTATTTCATTTATGCATAAAAGAGCTGGGGTATAGGTCAGAGATTGGGGTGGGGGGGAAGGGCAGTGAGATGATTCACCAGAGAAGGAGTGGGAAGTAGAACAGAACAGGCAGATCTACTGAAATCCACTGCTAAGGGGAGCAGTAGGCGAGACAGGGGAGGTCTGCTGTAGGATGTGGGTCACCTCCCAGGCCAGGGATCTTACTCCTGCTGCAGTGACACTGGAGAGCTTCATAGTGTTGAGACTTAACTCCTTTGCCCCCGGGGAGGCCCTATTTTATTTTTTGAGTGCTATTGTAAAAGAAACTTTCTATTTCCCTAGGAAATAGGAGTGAAAGTTTGGGCACTTTTAAGTAATTGAAGTACAATTTTTGATTCTTAAAACTGCTTATATTGCTCTTCTGGCTTCTGGCATTTCATTTACAAAGACAGTCAACCTGAATTTTTGTTTATTTGTTAGTTATTTTTCCAATGGTTTCTACTAGAATTAAAAAAAATAGCTTAATATTCGAGAATCATGTATGCACATTTAATGCTCTTAAGTTTTGGTGTTAAAAAGCAAGCCCTGTGTTTTTAGGCAGTCATACTTCTTTAGTTGTCAATTAACTATATTGTTTTCCTTTCTGATCTGTTATTTGTTATGGAATCTTTTGCATTTGTCCTTCTGTTTCTCCCTCCCCCCCCCCAATTTCTGGGAGCATTTCTAGAGCTTATTTCTTACTTACTGTATTCAGTTTGATTGTTTCAGTATCCAATGAACTGTTCTTGCCTGTTGTAATTTTTACTTTGTTTTACTTATCATCTGTGTATTTTTCATCCTGTGGATTATTCCCCATTCTTTTCTATTGTCTTTGAGATAGCTACTCTTCTAAACTTAGATCTTGAGTTCAGCTATCAGCTTGGCACTGTGGAGATGACAAAGCTGTGCAAGACAGGGGTGACATGATCCACGTTTCCAGTGAGGCAACTAGTAGAACAAATCACTTCACATTGTCCATGTTTATTCATAAGGCTACATGTGCGTTTCAAAGAGTGATCTTGAATGTTGGCAGGTGGGGCACAGTGTAGAAATCACAAAGTGATGACTTAGTTGGATTTTAAAGAATTAATAGGGATAAGTGTGTCATGGAATAAGTCTGCTGAGTCAGACCATCAGATGTCTCATCATTCTGAATAAGAAACAAATTAAATCATGAAGGTATTTTTCTTCCTTCTTTCCTTCTCCATCAAATAGTAGCAGTCCTCTAATGTGAAATGGCTCATATCAATGAAGTTATCAGTGTCAAGAACTTTTGACTGATTTTGGTTGGAACACGCCTTCCATACTTCATGTTTGAGAAATTTAATGAAGGCTTCATTTCATTGAAAAATAGATAATCAAGAGTAATCTTGCTTTTCTTATGCATATAATTCTTCCATTTCCTTAGTTGGTCATATGATAACAATTCTTGGATACTTGTAAAAATGAGTCATTTTAATTTATGAAATTAATATTGTTTAAAGTTTAGTGTTCAGCTTTATGAAATAGAAAATATTGTGATTTTATGCTATTTTATCAATGATTATGGTTCCATTTGAGTTAGTTTTGATAACTTCTCAAATTTTTCATAGATTCATCCTTATTATTATTAATGCTAGTAACTCTTAATAAAGTGCGTATACCACACATATTATTTAAGCAGTTTACCTTTGAATATGTATTTTCATACTTGTTATTTTTCCCCAGATAACTGTTGAAGGAAAAAATCAAGCACTCAGCATTGAAAACCGAAATCTTCTTTATGAGATTCTTTGTGCTCTTATCAACCCAAAGCGCAAGGACACTAGAGGATTCACTCAGTTTACTGAAGTGACAGAGAATTTTGCTTTTGCTCTACTGACTGATGTTACTTGTGGCACTTCTGGTGAAAAGTAAGTATGTTTTTATATGATAGAAGAACCTTGTGCCTTAATAATCCTGCTTTATATGTCTTCCTTCAGTTTACAAAGTAGCATGCAATGCAAGTTATAGATAGCTGATGTAATTAAGGCTGATGTAGTCAATGCAGTATACCTAATGGGGAAACAAAGCTAATTAAGAAAATGTAGTAACTGCATTAAGAAATACATATATCCCTCTTGTTTTGATGAGTCTTTCAAAAATAAGTCTTACTGCTTATTCTTACTTAAATAATGACACGCTTGACTAGATAATAAAGGATTCTAGCCGTTAGCCACATCGTATATGCTGGTAAGTGTGCTTCCCACTGGAGTTACAGTTTAGTTTCTTTCAAATGGAGCCAGATCTCAGAATGTTGTTGAACTTCAGCCTGGTTGTTTCATGGCTGGTGTTAGATGGAAGAGAATGTGTAAGAGGAAAAAGAATAAAAGAAAATGTAGTTCTCATGTTCATTATTAACTGTTAATTTTATAACTGTATGTAATATTTTTCAGAAGTCATGGCATTTTAAGTTACATTCATTAGGCAAATTGGATCATGGTGGTACAAAGATTTAAAATGTTTTATTTCTACTTGATTTAACATAAAAATTGCTGGTCATAGAACATGAATAGAAGCAGATTTCTCCCAATTCTCAGAGTAACATGCCACTTAAAATGATTATTACTTAACAGGACATGTCTAACTAAAAGTTTTTATATAAATATCTATAAACTTTATTATTCTGAATGCTGTTATCAGTGTTCAACAGGCCACATTAAAATTCAGGGATATCTTGAAGACTGTATTTAGGAAATTGGGTATAATAATTTAAATCATCTCTTTATGAACTCTTTAGAAAACCTGGCATAGTCATTTAAATAATTTCTTTATGAACTGTAAAAGGTTAATTAAAATAATGTTTGGATATTTAAAACTTTTAACTTGGATCACAAGACAAAGTTCAAAGTGATATCAAGGGTTACAATGTAAACATAAAAGGTATAAAAGATTACCAGAGAGATAAAAAAAAATCTAATAATGATGATGATGATAGATATTAACTGTTTCTCTACTGTAGTTCTGACACTGTATTAGATTGAATATGAAATTACCCTTTTTTAATAGCATATACTACTTAGAAAATTTCATAAAGTTCAACATACTCCCTAGTAAAAATTATAAATATATTAATCTTTATCAAAGGTCGCTTTAAGTAGTTCAAGGTAGAATAGGACTATTATTACTCTTACCAAAGCTTGGGAACCTTACCCAGCTCCTCAGGGGTCACAGATTACTTTATGGTGAGGTCTGGAGGCTCAATTCCAGGGTTCACTGACGTCCAGCTCTAATGGTCACCACCAGTAGCACCATCATGCTTTGTGGTCAGAAGTTGTAACCACAGGCTTTGAAAGAAACCTTCCACTTCTAGGTCAGTGGCTTCAGATTTTCACCCCAGCTTTTGGCAAGGATAAGATTCAAGGGTAAGGTACAGAACCAGCATCACTTTACATTTGGTGTATACCTTACATACTCGTACGTTAGCCCCATGAGTCCTGGAGATTGATGTTTTCTTAATGAAGAACTTAAGGAAACCACCTAAAACTCTTTGCCTGCTTTTAGGGGGACCTGTCTCTCCAGTCCTCACCAGGGTTCCTAAAGATCATCTGAGATGAATGATTAGTAGTTTAACACCTTGGCACCCTTCCTAATGTCATTAGCGATTTCTGAAATGAATCATTTCTTTATTTGAAGTCAGGAGGCCTCTGTTTGTATGTGAATGTGTGTGTGTATAACATCCTTTCTCCCTCTTTAACTGTCAACTATGTTGTTCAGTGAAATCAAACAGTTCATACCTTTGCATTCTCCATAATTTCTTGCATGTTTTTCCATCTTTCTAAAACATCAACTGATTACCAAGATTGTCTTAGAAGCCAATTCTCTACTCTGCTAAGCCATCCTAAAGTTCTAAAATCATTTAAACTTTTTTAGGCAGGCTTAAGTTTGGATTCATCTTTAGGTATTCTGATTGTTTGCAAATATTGTAGATTCATATGTAAGATGTGTCAGATTGTCTGGAGAGTTGGCTAACAATGTAGAAGACAGACAGATTCCCAACATGCTCTAGGCAAGAATTCTTACTTGGTAAACCTGGGGTGTGATTTAGAAATCTATTATTTTTAAACAAGCTCCCTAGGGATTTCAACATACACTGAGTTTTTGGAAGCAGTTTCACTGAGCATAGGATCTTATGCTTTGAGGTGTTCAAAACACTATAGTCAAGAGATAAAAATTACAGTTCAGGACAGTTTTTCATGCCAGTCACCTGGTTCACGATACTCTGTTGTACTAGAAAGGAGTGAGGCAAATTCTTCATGGAAGCACAGTTGTAGATATATCAGGATTTTAATATTGGAGGATTTCAGTTCAGTGGTTCACCTTTTCCTCAACCTGTTAAATCAATGTGATGTGACTGACACAGAAAAATACATTTTATAGGCACAGATTGGATCTGATGTCCCTGAAGCCACTTTCAAAAGCTCAGGTTTTAGGTTACATGAAGGATCTGGCAAGGGAGTGCAGAAAGTTTTGGACAAAAAAGCATGACAATTTTGTACAAAGAAATTGAAAACACATTTCTTTCTACTGCTTCTGGGCTGGGAGTGTCATGGTTACAAAGAAGCACCTCAGTGTAATAGTGTTTTAGCCAGTATGTGTGGATATACATATGCAAATACATGCCATATTAACAGCCTTTGCTTTTTTGTCGTAGAAGCAAAACCATCCTTGACACGTGTCCATATTTGTCCATCCTGGCTCTTCACTGGTATCCTCAGCAAATCAATGGACACACGTTTGAAGGAAAAGAAGGTGATTATATTAGAATTCCTGAGAAGCTATTGGATGTTCCAGAGGCAGAAGTAATGGCTGAGAAAAGTACATGTAAATTAGTCCAGTTTACGGAGTATAGTAGTCAGCAGTGGTTTGTAACTGGAAACAATCTTCTGGCTCTGAAAAATAAGGTAAGCTATCATTTAAAGAATTACGTGGCTGTAATCTTATTTTTGCTTAGCAGGCATACTCAGAAAAGGGTTCACTTGATCAGATTTGTGGTGTTACATATACACAGTGAAGCTAGTTATAATACAGGTCCCATATAAACTACTTATAGAATGGTTTGTTTCAAAAAAGAGTCAAAATTTTTTTGTTTCATTGAACACACACATATATATGTGTAAAATTAGAAAATATACTTGCAGTTAACATTAGAGTTTACTTTACTCAGGATGATCAGATAGTTGAAGTCAAACTCAGTGTCTTCAGCTGAAGACTGATCAGTACTTCTTATGGAGGTTGAACATTTGCAGTGGAAATGAATGAGGTGCTCTGGATTACTGAGTAAGCTCTTACTAGTGATAGTAAGCAAGTAACTTAAGTGCCTAGGAAAAAAAAAACAGCAAATTTCAGAATGGGAAATTCAATTGTGACATTAATTTGAAAATACTTTGGTTCTTTCTGGCATTACAGGTGTTATCGCTGAGTGTGAAAGGTCAGAGTTCACAACCCCTAATGGACAACAATGAGGTTATTTATAGGATTTATGCTGCTGAGCCTAGAATTGTTCCCCAAACATCTCTGTGTCTCCTTTGGAATCAAGCTGGTGCAAGGTACCTATTAAAATTCTTTTACGGCCCTCCCTGGTGGCGCAGTAGGTTAAAGCACAGCACTGAGAATCTAAAGCCACTTTCTTGTGAGTTCGATTCCTGCCTGTCCCGGAGGTGACCACATGGCGTGGTAGACCTCTCCTGGCCCGCCCGCTGCTCCCCTCAGCAGTGTACTTCGTTGATCTGCCTGTTCTGCTCCCCATTCTATCTCTGGTGAATCCTCTCACCCTCCGCATCTCTGGCCTGTACCCTAGCTCTATATAAATAAATAAATAAAATCTTAAAAAAAACCCAAAAACTCAATTAAAGTTTCTAATACTTGGTGTCAGATCCTAATCCAATTGGTAGGTACTCTAAAATCCTCATTGTATAAGATAATGAATGTTTCAAACTTGAATCAGCAGTTGGAATTAAGAAGTTTTATGTCCCTAGCAAAGTGGAGGAATCAAGAGACACTCAAAGGGAGGAAGTTCAACCAATGTTCCCTGGGAAATCTATAGGAGACTTGCCATGAGATTCTGCATTTACTGTTTTCGTGCTAACCATTTTGTTAACTAAAATCACTGAAAGAACCCTGGTAAACAGTACATAGAACAGAACCCAATATGCACAAAAAAATAAGGAGGGAATCAGAAAAATAAAGCATCATTTTTGATAAGTATAAAATATTTAATTTCCAAATAAGGAATAACTCTAGATTTAAGAGTAAATATAGAATATCTAAATATAGAATAATTCAGGTTTCAACGTATAAGGAATTGTGAAAATGGAGGAAAGCGAACTCTAAAAATATCAAGGCTACCTTGATCTTTTATGATTTTTGAACATAAGAGTGATTTCTGTTGGAACCTTGGTATGATTGCTTCAGCTTACATAGGGCCTGGTGCTAACTATTCCTCAATAGTCTGGCCTCTGCGGGACTGGGAATGCCTTTGCAGATTTGGTTGGCGTTTTGGTGCTTTGTGGGATCTGTTATGTCATGTCCTGGACAAGATGTTCCCTGCAGTGTTTCTTCATGAGAATATGATCTGCTCAAATCTTGAGTAAACAAAGCTTAAGTTCAGTAGGTTATTTTTTTAAAGCCATCCCAGCACCTTAAGTATTGATGAAAGAAGATGAGTGACGATTGTGTTTTTGTCCTAGCTGGTTACCTGACAGTCCATTTTGCAAAGTGGTTGAGGACACTTCAAACTACGTGGAATGTGCCTGTTCATACATGTCTGTGTATGCTGTCTACGCCCAGACTGATACGTTGTCATCATACAATGAAGCCTTTTTCTCTTCTGGATTTATATGTATCTCAGGTCAGTTGCAGTTTTTTTGAGTCAACTTTAAATATTGATGAGAATAAATGTATGTTTTCTCATGTCCTTTTAAATATATGCAAGATGCTTGTAATGCATCAACCTGAGGAGAAAACATACTTTCCCATTGTTTTACTCACTGTTTCATCCTATGGACATCTATGGAGGGGCAACTTTTACTGAGGCTGTTATGAAGCACAAGACTTCGTAAGACTAGAGAATAGACTGTGGGGTGCAGCTAAGTGGTAGGAAAGGATGTATTCATACCACTGTGAATTATAGGGCAAGTTTTGAAACAGAATGTAAGTATTGTGTGAAATCATATACAAAACATTTATTTTTGTGAAAGAATATTAGATTTTTACTAAATCCGACTCCCTGGTTGGTGCGTATTCAATACCCTAAAGCATTTTAAATATACTTGAGTTTCTGTCTTAAGAATAGTTCTTCACCTTCTACATCCAGGTAGTGTTTCTTCAGTAAGTTCCGTCAAGCTCTTTACCTACTATTTAACTCTGAAGAGTCTCCTTTGAGATTCACTAACTCAGACATTCCTAATATTTTGCTTTAATGATGTTTCTGTGAATATATTATTGATTCATGCCTTTTGTATTTGGTCTGAACTTACCCTGATAACGTTGATTAATTAGAAAGTTTTTAGAGATAGAAGCAAGTAATTAATTACTGGTCTTTATCCTAGTTGTTAAAACCCTCTATAATATCATTTTATAAAAAATACATTTTCTTTACTGAACTTTCATTATTGAATCTAACTTAGATTCAATAATAAAAGTTAATACTATCTTATTTTTAATAACATCTTTTTTTGAAGGGTATCATTTCTTGTTTAGTAGATTTTTCCAGTTTCAGATAATTTCAAAATCTAATGGAAATATCCTATTTTACTCTAATGCTAGTACACTACAGAAGTTACAGAGAATGATGAAATACATGTAAAGGGTGAAACATTGAGATAAAAATCTGTCTTTTTTTTAAAAAAACAATGCAATAGTTTGTTGTTGTTGTTGTTGTTGTTTACATCATTTTGTGCATATTTTCCTCTCAGTTGTAATCCCCGTGGGCTTCCCATTACCAAATCACCCATGTGCCATCACCAAAGTCCAGTGCATTTCCTTCCCTTCACTGTTTTTGATCCCATCCCCCACCCCACCCCCATAAAATGTCTCTGGTATATAGCTGTTCATCATTATTATTTTCTCGCCTGGTCCATTATACTCATACTCCTGCAATGAGTAAAACCATCCAGTACTTTTCCTTTTCTTCCTGGCTTATTTCACTAAGCATGATCTTTTCCAGCTCCATCTATGTTGCTGCAAAAGGCATGTGTTTCTTTTTTTTTTGGTTGCTAAGTAATCTGTTGTGTATATATAACACATCTTTATAATCCAGTTACCTACTTTTGGGCATTTGGGTTGTTTCCATGTCTTTCCTATTGTAAAAAAAGAAGCAACAAACACGGGGGTGTAGGTGTCTTTTTGAATCAGTGTTTTTGTGTCTTTTGGGTAGGTACCCAGGAGTGAGTTTGCTGGGTCATATGGAAGCTCCATGTTTAGCAGTTTGAGGAACCTCCAAACAGTTTTCCGTAGTGGTTGTACTAGTTTGCATTCCCACCATCAGTGCAGGAGAGTTCCTTTTTTACCACATCCTCGCCATCATTTGTTGTTGCTAGTTGTTTGAAGATGTCTGTCATTTTTTAAAAGCTATCCCAACACCTTAAGTGTTGATGAAAAAGGAGTAGCAATGACTATGGTTACTGTATTAGAAGAGAACTGCTAAATGGTCATTGTGTGAAACAGACAACCAAATATTTAGTAATCTTTAGAAAGATGAAAGATGAATGTATATACCTATGACTGTTAAGAAATTAAACTAAGGTTACTACTTGAAGTTAAAAAGAGACGACCAGTAAAACATTAATGTAACTTATAGAAATCACTTCACGTTTACTTGGGAGAAATACAACTTAAAATAAGTTTGGCTGATGATGCCACAGTTCGATAATCTAATTATTTAAAGGTATCTAGGTATGGTTTGAGTACATATTATTTGGAGGACAGTGTTAAAGAAACCTACTCTGCTCCCTGTAACTCTGTGGTGATTTTAATAGGAGCCTTCATGTCTTCAATCCATATTATTTTTCATACCGATATGTGACCTATATCATGTAATAGTGCTTTTAGGTGAGTCTCCTAAGCTTAGAGTGGTTTTTAAGCTGAAATTAGTAATAGACCACAGAGCTCACATTTGTTTTACATTTGTTTCATTTTGTTCTCTTGTGGTTAAGAACTCCTTTAATGCATTAGTCAAACTAAAGTTTTCTCCTTCAAATGGCTAATGGATTTATTTATTTTACAGATCACTGAGTATATAAATGCCAAGCAATGTTAATTGTACATTACTAGAAAACAGTTCTCTATACATTGCTAAACAATAAGACTCACAGGATAAGTCGGCCCATTCCATAGTCCATTGAAATATGCTTATTCTTTTGTTCAAGGATCATAAAACTATAGGAAGTTTCTAGTTGTACCTTTTATATTTAACAAGCTGAGATTCTAACAGTTTTTCAAGAATAAAATAACTATGAGATGCCATCCATTCATTTCAAGTTATTTTTGAAAAATAAGGGATATCTTCTAAAATTTTGTGGCAAATTCTTCCAAAAATATCAAGTTCATCTTCCCTACAATCACTGTCCTAAGATAGCCATTATCTTCATGGAGTGAATATGTTCAAAAAGTATCATCTTATCAGATAGGAAATTATTTAAGAAAAATCAGAGGGCTTAGTTTTTTGTTTTTTTTTTTTTTTTTAATATTCATTTATGCTTATGGAACTGGGGTACAGGCCAGAGGTGTGGTGGGTGAGAGGATTCACCAGAGACAGAGTGGGGAACAGGACAGGCAGATGTACTAAAACACACTGCTGAGGGGAGCAGCAGGCCGATTAGGAAAGGTCTGCCACGCCATGTGGGTCAGCTCCCTGGCTGGGATCATGCTGCAGTGGCTTCTTAGAACTTCATAGTGCAGATCTTTTAACCCGTTGAGTCACCAGGGAGAGCCCTGGAGGGCTTAGTTTTAATGGTGACCTGGCATGAAGAAGGTAGATTTCTTTATGTGTACATGTAGTTGTATTTTTTAGGATGAGCTTGATTGTAAGTAATAGAGGGCAGTACAGATACCTTAAGTAAGCAGGGTTAGCGCTGAGGATGGTAAATTCAGCACCTCAGTAGTGTCATCAAGGGTTCAGACTTCTCTTTTTTCTGTTTTGCTGTCCTCGAAGACTTTATTTTCACAGTCTTGCCCCTACATGGTCTTGCAGTGGCTGTAGAAGCTCTTAGCAGACCACAGTAGCATCTAGGCTTGCCAAGAGAAAGGTACTTACTTGGAACTTTTTTGAAGAGCAATGAAAACTTTTCCTGAAAGTTACCCTGAATGTTTTCTGGCACATCTCTTGGACTAGAATAATGTTATATGACCTTGATAAAGCAGTTTCTGGGAGAAGATACAAATAAAAAAACATTAGAGACAGGCAATGGGAGAGGAGGGAGCAGCTTCTTGAATAGTGTGTCTCCATTGCATATCCTAGCCCCTGATAAATTAATTTTAAAGTAGCTGTGGGTTAAATGAATACAGTGTCGATCTGAACATGCCACCAAGTGTGATGTGTTTGTGGCTTTATAAGTCAGGTTCATATTTTCAAGTCCCATTCACTTTAGTCTTTTTTTAATAAAAATCCTCCTGAAATGTAACATACTGTTTCCTGTGTTCACACAGATGGGATCAACACAGCATCCTTCCCTTCCTCACACCCTACCTGTCTGTAGCAGTAGAAATGTTCTGCACGTTCTCATATGGTGGCCACCAGATACTTCTGGTTATTGAGCCCTTAAAGTATGTCTGGTATAACTGAGGAAATAGAACTAAAAATCTATTTACATGCATAATCTATTTAATTATAAAATTTAAATTGCCACGTACAGCTAGGGCTATTGTGTCCAAGAACACTGATTGCCTAGAGCATGGTCTCCTAGAAACCTCCATCCTTGGGATTAAATTCCTTTCCTAATGCACAACACTTGTATGTTGGAGGTGCTATATATACTGTTCAACCTAGAAAACCTAGACTGTACAGTTTTGTTTTCCTGTTTTAGCCTATTAGTAGTAACAGAAATATATTGTGTTGAGGAAGGAGTTATAAGAACATGGCAATCAATAGTAATGAGCAGGGAAAAGTAGAGAAAAGATAGTCTCACCTAGTAAGGAGGTAGAGAAAAACTAAGCTGAAAAGCTAATAACTGACTTAATAGTGAAATGGTAGTAATTTGGTTTTGCTTGGATTTATCCATATAGAGAAGACAGACACCTATGGAAAGAGAGATGCAAAACTTAAATATTTTAAAGAATTTTTTGTGGGAAAAAGTATTGATAATTGATTTATGGAAGGTAAAGTTCAGTAATTTATAAAGTATATGCCATTCTTAAAAAAGCTGGATGTGTATATTCACACATAATCAATACCATGTTTACCCATGAACATTCAAATATTATCTATCTATCTATCTATCTAAGAAAACCTTTGGTCCAGTTTGATAATAGTGAAGAATGAACTATCCTCAAGGGTATATTTTTTTTTAACCTAAATCGAAGATGACCAGTGTCACTCTTTTATTAAGGATAATTTTCTGTCTTCTCACTTTCAAATCATTCACAAAAGTCATATGTGTCAGCAAACTAATTAGTTGCCCTTTTCCAACTGACAGTACTAGAAAAAAGGTAAAGCAATGAGCTGCTTTTTTTTTATTCTTACATAGTTGCTGAGGAATCATTTTAAAATAAATCTGTTAATGCCTTTTGTTAACAATTAAAGCTGTTAGACTTTTTAAAAAAAATCTACATTTGAAACAGTTTATACCTTGTGGTTTGCATATTTTTATAAGGTCATTTAAATAAAAAAGTCCAACTTACAAGTTTAAATTATGTATGTTAAATACTACAGCTTTTCAAGTTCAGTTAAGAAAATGAAAGATAAATACTTAGCATACATTTTAGAAACTTGGTAACTGAAATGCTTTGTTTCCTTCAATTTACAGTATTCAGTATCTTTTCCAAGACATGTGAGACTAGGGCACAGCCTGTTTGAGGTTGTTCAGCACCATTCTTCTCTCCTAAATAAGAAGGGAATCTGCTAAGCCTCATCCATGATAGCTGTAGACTAATAGAATCTAACCCTGTTCCCTGTCACAAGCTCTGAATATGGCCACCAGGTGTCATGCTTGCGTTTTAATTGAAGCTTCGTATACTTGAAGACCCTTGAGCTGAATATACTAAGTTTATGTCATGAAAGAGTATAATGGAGAATTACCAATTTAAGGTGAAGGCTTATGAATAAGCTTATGAATTAGGAAAAAAACAGCTGACTCATGTAATTTTCCTTTGTCCAACACTAATCCCCTTGCCTCACATTATCTGCTGCAATAAACTTACAGTAAAGCACATACTTATGAGCATGTGGCCAGCAATGAAAAGAACCTTTCAGGCCCTGTTTCTAAGTCTATGATGCATGCACACAAACACAGACATGTATTCCCCACCTCACACCCACACTCCATTCATACACTGAGTTTAACCTATCTTTGATAATCATAGGAAATTCACTGCACACTAGTGAGTTAGAGGCTCAGTGCCAGTAGTTCTTAGACCATGTCAGAGGGGAAAATCAGGCAAAGCTCTGCCATTCTGGATCCGCTGAACCTGTGCGGGTGGACTTTTTGGAGGCAGCTGGAGAATCTGCACACCTGTCCCAGAACACCCCATGGGGCCCTTCCTAACAGTGAATAAGTTTGGATTTCTTGGCTAAATTCCTAGGCCAAAAGCCTCCACTAATACAAAGTCTGACTTTCTGTTGGAACTTTGTCTACCTTATTAATTCTAACCCATTGAAAGCTTTTGCCAAAAGGAGTTATGGTAAAACATTTTTGGGCAGAGAATTCATCATAAACCCCATGTGGAAATTTTGCACATGGCCAGTCCCACATGGGGGTTACTTTAAAAGCTAGTTCCTTAGTTGCAGAGAGGATGAGAAAACAAAAGGTTAACTCGATGCTGTGTGTCCTGGTTAAGGAGGCATTGATATTCTTAAATACTCTAATACATGCAAAGTTCAGGGTAGAGCAGCAGACCCATGACTATGGATATGTTTTAATAATTCTAAGACAAACTAATCTCCCTGAAGACAAGAGCAGAGCACAAGCTTTCGTGAAGAAGCAAATGGGTCAACATGTGCAGCACGTTTAAATTTTAAAAGGCAGGAAATACTCTAAAAATGTGTATCTCTTTCGCATTTAAAACATCCCATTAAAGAAACTTTTTACCAGTTGTGAGATAAAAGATTGGTAGTTTAATGCTGAAGCGCTAATCATTCCCTCAAAGTAGTGTAAATAGATGAAATGAAGAAAGTCGAAAGAAAATAAGACTAATTTTCCTCAACACATTTAGAAATGTAGATATTTAAGCTAAAAGTCATTTCAAGAGGAAAGAGCACATTTTATTTCTGGTTTTGGCATCCAGGAGCATAAAGTTGCTTTTAACATTCATAATTGCCACTGTCGTAATTATAGAACTGTTCCTATTAGATAAAAGGGGTAATTACCGAACCTGAGTTTTGGTAATACCATTCAGTTTCATGCCTGAAAAATCCTATTCACCTCCTCAGATGTCTCTGTTTAACCAAGCCACCTGTTCTTTTCATAAACTCTAAAACATGTTTAATAGATACATAATACACTACATAGGTAGAGAAATTATTGGCTTGCCCAATTTGTGATTTCTTTTTAGTAAGGAAGCGAACATGTAGGCATTTGAAAGTTAAAGTTGCCCTTTGGGCTTCACTGACAAGTGTAACATTTTTTTGTCCATCATGCAAAATGTAGTAGATGAAAATTGCAGCCGAATCCTGGGCAGTGCTGAATGGGAGGCTCAGGACTTCCTGTGCTTACTGCCCCAGTGATTTCATGGGGCTGCTGTTTGTCTGTTCATGTACTATAAAGCTTCTCTTGGTTTTCTGTTCTACAGGTCTTTGCCTGGCTGTTCTCTCCCATATCTTCTGTGCCAAGTATTCCATGTTCGCAGCTAAGCTTCTGACTCACATGATGGCAGCCAGCTTAGGTACACAGGTAGGAGACTTCTGGCGTCGTCCAGCTTTCATGAAATGTTCCTGTCGCTTCCTCTGAGAGTTTGAACTGAGAGCATAAGTAAAGTTTAATCTCAACTTAGTTGAAATAAGCTTGTGTAGGGTTTCATAGGTATTGGGAAGAATAATGGCAAGAGACAGTGAGTGTTGCGAGAAATACCATAATGTCAATGCTTTTGAGGAAATAGCTTCCAGTTATGAAATTATTGTCGACTAATACATGCTCAATATACTAATTGAAAAAGAAATATTCTTAAAATTGGAAAAGGTTTACATTAGCATATTTAGTCTGTTCAAATAAGAGATTATTAGTAACACAGCTTGAAAGATAGAAAGCAAATCAAAAGGTGAGATTAAATGCCTTTTCTATCCATGAGGTACTCATATTCTAGAATAATACATATAAATGTTGCTGTAATTCATTGTAATAAGTGTGAGGTGTAAACTCTTTATAAACTACTGTCTGAATCTAGATGAGAACTTAATTCATTTATCTGTGAATGTCAAGGAAGCTTTCATAGAGAAGTGGTATTTAAGCCAAGACTCTGAGGAGTTCATGAAATGTTTTGTAAAGGGGAAGACAGGCATAATTGGTCGTATAGATGAAGGGAAGCAAACATAATCACTTCTAATTTAAGGCAGTAATTACAGATCCAGACAGTAAGAATATGCTATATAATGTTGTTATTGAAATAACTTTGTAACGTTATTATATAAAATAAATTTCCCCTTTTCTGAGTGGGTGAAGACACTTCTGGAATACCGAATCCTTTTTCTTGGTTGGGTGCTGGTTCTCTGCACATGTATGCTTATGAACCAGCTTAGGTAAATTTATTGTGCTGTATGCTGATAATTTATATGCTGTTTTATAGAATATGAATGCACATTTTATTGAACTCTGAATCAGAACTTTAAAATATAATGCTAGTGAAGATGCTAAAATAAGAAAATTAGTTGGGACATTAGAATTCTGTTGTCTTATTTTGGTTTTGGTCCGGGAGTGAAAATGGTGTGTACATTTCATAATTCTATTTTTTTTTTTTTTTGAGAAATCTTACATGCTGGATTCCAAGCACAGGATTCCCTGTGATGCTTTAAAGCATCTGTGAACTGTGGACGGTAACTGCTATCACCAAAAGGGTGCTGGTGTTGAATTTGACAAGCCTATTTATTTTATGTTCATAACCTATCTTAGCTGTCTGATCTTGCCTTTGCTTCTTGTATGTAAGATCTCAGAAAACATGCCTTCCATAATTAGAATTTACTTGGCTGTATTCACCACCCACTCTGGTGATTTTTTGGCAGTGGAATTTGCACAAGTCTTAATTATAACACTGTAGAATTTTCAAGAGTCCTAGCAGACAAATTTGTTCATGTCTGGGGATGTGAAAGGAAGAACCAGGATTTGTATACTCAGATAATTGCCTTCTGATTCACATCATAATTAACATTAATTTGGGAGAAAATGGTTAATCAAATCCATGTTTCTCAGTATTTCCGGGAATAGTTAAGGCATGTGGCATGAAAATCCTTCATGTATCACTTGTGACATGAGATAAACAAATTGAGAATAATCAGCTCCCTTAAAGCCTCCTAGCAAAGACTTTTAACAATGCTTTTAGGCTCCAGGAAAAAAGAAATAAAGCTGATGTCAGGAACTTTGACCCATCTTTTCTGAGTTTTAAAATCAGTATATGAAGATAGTGAAATTTGCTAACTATGGTATCCTCATGCCAGCCTTGGCCCTCTCATTCGGAATTCTCCATCAGTGTTATGACATTCTTTGACTTACGTTCACTCTAAAGAAACCTTCAAAAAAATATGAGTTTGATCGGTGGTTCTTTGGCTAAAACAGTAAAACTTCTACTTCTGATCTAAAGTTGTGAATATGATGCACACAGATTTGCCAAGGTCAGTTTCAAGTATTTATTGCTAACCTTGGATAAGTTGAATGGCTTTTGTGGGGATGGGAAGAATGGAAGTGTGGTGTTCTGACTTCTTTTTGGAGCAGTGTAAGTCAGTGAGTGAGGTAATCAATAGTCAGGAAAATGTACTCCTCTGGCTCTACTTCTCTGCTGCTAGAAATACACACATATGTTTGTATCATCTATTATAAAATTTATATCTATAGGGAGGAAGCGAGACAAGAAGCCAAAGATTGTTCCTGCTTACAAAGATTTCCCTTTCCGTCACTGAAACATATTGAGAATCATTGACTATAAATGGCCAGCAGGTGTCAGTAGAAGATTTTTTAATGCTAAACCTATTTTCAGTCTCTTAGCAAAGATGGAGTTTAGAAAACTTGAGAAATGTTTTCACAGTATTTCTTTGACTGGGCTAGGCAGTATCCTTATATACATTGCAAAAGGGTATTTGTCACTTATTTATTTTTTTTTTATCCCCTTTGTTCAGAATTGAATTAAATGGATGTGTAAGGTACATAGAAAGCTTGTATTCTCCATCTTGGGACATCTTTCTGTGACCTATTTATAGTTAAATTTGGGATCATAAAATTATTTCCATTATTGTTATTATTACTAGAAAAAACCTTAAGAATTGTGTTTTCTGTTTAAAAATGTGTTTATTGAAACATGTGTTTTGATATATCATCTATATTTTCAGTATTGTTTATCTAAAAAAGTATTTTTCTTGAGTGCCAAATTAATTTTTCTTACTTACTCAAGAGAATATGATTAAATGGGAAGAAATCGTGAGACCAATAACTGCAGTTAAGAAATAAAAGCCAGCAACATGGCATGGCTTGATATTTCTCGGAAAACATCTAATTATAACTTTGGAATTTTTATCTTAGAATCACATTGCCAACCCATGTGTGCTCTGATAAGGCTGGTAAACAAGTAGGACAAAGGCCAAGTTTGCAGTTCAGGGTTCTCCGTTCTGGGGGTTCTGTCAGGGAAAGTAATCCTCCAAATCTAAAAAAAGAACAGAAGTTTCTTCATAAAAAATGGTTACATACAACTGCATTTACTCTGAATAAATTTAGCAAGAAGGAAGTTTTCTGATTTATTGTTTGTATGGCTTCATCACATTATATGAAATGAAGAACACATTTATCTAGTAGAAAACATATGTAAAAATAATGAAATTCATCCACAAGCCTGGATGTTTCTTCTATTGAGATGGGAATACTTATATATACCTTGGATGTGTAGGAGGTTAGAAACACCGGCCTTTTCTTCAAGAAAGGACAAAGTAATCAAGATCAGGGCCTTCTTCTCTGGAATTAGGAAAAGTTAGACTGTCAATATCTTGTCCAGTTTCCTTACTCTGCAACAGTTTTGTATGTCACTTTACAGTGTCACTTGTTTCCTATACAGGGTCTTGCTCACATACTCCTGCCAAAAGCTTCTGCTTTGATCTGTGGTTTACATCAGTCTAACTTGCTTTGACTATCTGGCTTTTTTGAGACTCTGAGAATCATTCCATGCGCCTCTGACTCAAGCCAGAAGTCTTGGGTGACATCTCAGATACTGGCTCTTTCTGGCCATACTCGAGGGCCTGAACCTTGCTGCTCTGTTAAGATTGCCAACAGCGGCCCTCGCTGGTGGCGCAGCAGGTTAAAGCACAGCACTGAGAATCTAAAGCCGCTTCCTCATGAGTTCGATTCCTGCCTGCCCCGGAGGTGACCACATGGCGTGGCAAACCTCTCCTGACCCGCCTGCTGCTCCCCTCAGCAGTGTATTTCGTTGATCTGCCTGTTCTGCACTCCACTCTGTCTCTGGTGAATTCTCTCACCCTCCACATCTCTGGCCTGTATCCCAGTTCTGTATGCACAAATAAAATAAAATCTTTAAAAAAAAAAAAAAAAACGATTGCCAACAGCATCACTTGTGGTGTATGTTCTCATTCCAGGTTTATCTCAGGCCGGACAGGTAATCAAAACAGCATCAAATGGGCTAGCAATGGAAAAACTATAAATTTAATAATTTATATAGAGAGAATTTACATTGGCAGTACATTTTAAAGAAAGGTGGAGCAGACAGTTATATTTATCATTTAGCGACCTGAAGCATCAAGCAGAGAGAAGGGGAGACTTTACATGACAGACAAGATGGGGTTGACTTTATCCTTACCAAGAGTAAAGATGACATTCTTAGAACATGCTCACTGACAAGCAAATGGATGAGACCCCTTATATTGCACTCCTCTAGATCATAAAAGGGGAAATACTGATTGTGCAAGCTCTTCTATTAGAGATGGGTGAGGACTTAAGAGAGACCCAGTGCTTCTCTTAGCTTCAGGGCCCTTGCTGCTCTGAACCCATACCAATCTGCATCATTTTAGAGTGATGATAATAAGGCTCTCAAGGCCCACAGGACCTGAATTGACCTCTAGTTTCCCACAACAAAGTGGCACTTACTGGAAGAGGCCCCCTCTGGCTTATTGACAAAAGCCTTTCTGATATTTTGTAGGGAGACTGGCCCCACACAAGCATATTTTTATAGCTTGAAACAGTAAGATAGAACTTGTGAAATGCCAATTTTTCATTAGTTGGAAGTTTTAAATTAATCAGTTGTTAACCAGAGTATCCTTTCCATGTTTATTATTTTTCTAAGGGTTAGTGAAATAATTCAGAGAAAGACAAACACTGCGTGATGTGTGATTCATATATTTCACATAAACAAAACAAGCAAACTAAATAAATCAAAAATAAACTTTAAGACCAGAAGACTAATACTGGTCATCAGACAGGAAGAGCAGGGGATAAATATTTGGGTAAAGAGTGTAAGTTTTATGGTAAAGTATAGAATTGGACTTTAAGCTGTGAAATTAATATAGATATTGACTTATAAAGATGTAGGCCAGAAATTTATAGTGTTACACTGCAAAGTTTTTTTCATTAAAATAAAATAAAAAAAAAAACAACCAAACATTTAAAGATGGTAAGACTTTGGGGACAAGGATTCAAACTAAGCCTTACTTTGAGAATTGGGAACTTGAGAAGAGCATTTGTTCTATATA